AATTTACCCTGATCTCTGCTCATTACTCAGACTCAAAGACAAACTTTAGGTAGTGAACACTTCAAGTTCCCTCGCCCAGCTTGAGTCAGCCTTATTGATTTCTCTGAAATCAAGTATTTTAGGGTTGATTCAGAAAGCTGAAGGCATCAGCTCTCATTATTTAGCAGTATTTGTGCCACAGGAGGACCTGACATTTTCTATCTACTTCACTAATAATAAATAACCCTTAGACTTTAAAATACCACATATTTTTCTTAAACTATTTGGTGTGATTTAGCATAGTTTAAATGTACCAAACTCATCTAATTTTTACACTCTTTTTGCTTCCCAAGACCAACAGTCCCTGTATTATCAAGTATTAATTTAATAGTGTGCAATTAGAAGATATTACAACATATTTTAAAATAAAAGGAGATTATTATTGTTATTATTATAACTGTACAGATATAAAAGGGGTTATTGGTAAGATACACAGGGGTATACACTGGGTTTTAGATCAATTTAATGATGTAGTTTTTAACACCAGCAGCAGCTGATGCTCAAAGACCAAAGGATTTTGTTGTCCCATGACAACTTTGCTGTCCATCATCACCCTCCCCAGTTAGTCCCTAAAGGATTTTTTAATTTAATATCAGAGCAATCACTCAAATTTGCATTAAAGTAACTGGAAGAAACAGTTAATTCCAAGTTTGCTGTCAAGCCTACTGCTTTCAGTGATGGAGACTAGAAACGAACAGAAATACTTCATCTTACATGAAAAGGTCAAACTACTGCTGCTCTCTTCTCCTCACCCCCATCAATCCTCCCCAAAAAAAGAGGCAGAAAACTTTGCACACACAGAGCACTAAACTTTCCTCTTTGCATCCCAAACGATGTCAGCAGTGGCAAATATTGGGAAATTTGTTTTTCCTTCTTCCCTTTTCCCCTTACTCTTTGTTTTTCTCTTTCTCTCCAGTTTCTGAACCTCAAGGGAATGATCAGAACACCACTGGCACATCCCAGTCCTGCCCACCTGGCAGAGGGGAGATCCCTCCCCTTCATTCTCTGCATCCCAAACTATGTCAGCAGTAGCAAATATTGGAAAATTTGTTTTTCCTTCTTCTCTGTTTCCCTTACTCTTTGTTTTTCTCTTTCTCTCCGGCCTCTGAACCCCAAGGGAATGATCACAACACCAATGGCACATCTCAGTCCTGCCCACCTGGCAGAGGGGAGATCCCAGCAGACCCTGTGGAGATCCCAAGTTTGCCAGGATTCATTCCTGCTCCCCACTCCTCCTTCCCAAGGTCACGTCCTGTTGGGAAGTGACTCCTCCTTCCAAATCAGTGAGCACTTGGCTTTCTCCTCCATCCTCCAAGCCTTTTAATTGCTGCTTGATCCTAATGAAGTGTGGCTGATGGTAATAAATGGAAACCCTCCCGGCCTCAATATCCAGCATCCAGCCCTGTTCAGCTGCGTGTGCCTCGGCACCAGCATCCATCCCCTCCATCTCCCACCCTTCCCATTCCTCCCCCTCCAGCCTCGAGACTGCAGACATCTGTTCCTCAATTGTCTGGTAATAAACACACTCTATAAAGCATATGTAAAATGATTATTACCCCGAGGAGCCAAGTGCCTTTCAAATGCCAGCTGAAACAAATAAACATTAAGAGATAAAATACATTAAAAAAAAAAAAAAATCCCCACCAGACAAATGGTACGACAGACATCGCTCAGGCTGTTCCGTGCTCCAGAATGAAGGGCGTTGGGATTGCTCCTGTGATTCCTTCTTCCAAAGGGAGATGTTATTCCTCAGCCCAGTAACTCCCAGCAAAGGATGAAGGAAGCAACTGGACTCCTTTGGTAACTTTTATACTTTGGCACCTCCCATGAAATGTAATTAAGGAAGATCAGAGGTGGGTTCTGCCTCAATTTTCCAAGTGCAATTACTTTCCAGATGTAGTTAGGAAAACTTATTCCCAGGAATCATCTCCTCTAGAACGCCCACTTGTCTCTCAGAAATGCACTCTTGGTTTATTCCATGTGTGTGGTGCTGTCATTAAGTGCTGGTAATTAATCTGGGCCTTGGTGTGTCTCAGTTGTCCTTGTGGAAATTAGGGACCCACATCCTGAACAACACAAATCTCACTTCCCAACTCTGACTCCCTGCTCTAAAGGAATTCAAAGGCAAGGAAAGCTTTGAAAACCATTTTTAGGTATTTTTCTTTACATTGCCCATGGTTTTAATTAAGAGTTTCTCTAAACTTTGGTTATTGGGAATGAATTAACTTGCATACCCCCCGCCTTGAAGTCTGACCCCGTGTTCTTCAAGAGGATCTGGAGCCAAGTTCCACCCTCAGTTTGTAAATAAAAAAGTATTAAAAAGGGGCTTTATAAGCAGCAAATCTGTCCCTGTGCTTGTGCACCTCTGATGTGATCAGCACTGACACTTCTCATAGCAGGAGAACAAAAGAGAGAAGTTCCCACTGGAGAGTATCAATGCTCTGCTTCCATCTCTCCCCTCAACATTCCAGGGCTGAATTATATTTTAAAGCCATCACTTTATGTGATGCTCAGCCTTTAAATCAGCACACCAGGGTCTGGTTTCTCAGTGATCCAGTTTGTTTAATACTTTCAGAAGCACTCAGCTGCCTCATAAAATCAGTGAGTCCATGCAGTGCTGAAGCTCCTCTGGCAATGTATTTATGGGACTTTAATAAAAACAAGGGTGGAAAAAAAACCCCTTGTAAATAAAACATTGATCATTTGAATTCAAACCAGATCCATTTCAAGCATGTACAGGGGACAGGGATGAAAGATGAGGGGGGCAGGTCATAGAGAACCACAAAAAGGAAAATAAAACAGGTGGAAACTGCAGGAATTACCTCCAGGAGAGCTGGACATTTAAAATATGAATATCTGGTAAAGGGCAACAAGGATTTTACCAAGAGATGATGATTTTATGATTCCATGTGCCAGAAGTCACTGCAAGCATCAATATTTGAGCAAATTCCCCATACTGAGCATTTCAGCTGCTGGTGGGACAGGCCGTGGCTATCCCATCAGGAACAGAATTCCCTGTAGGGAATTACTGTCAGCTAAAGAAATCCTGTGATCATCCCAGATTCTCTGCATCCCATTCATCCCTAGGCCATCATGAGTTAAATCTCTCAGCACATTAAACAGTAAAATGAATACAATCACATTAAAATGTTTTTTAGAGCCCACTCCTACCCCCAGACTCTCCCATCCCACAGGGAGAAAAGGGCAAACTGGGTCATTCCATGTTTTCCTTCTTTTCCTGAAGTTATTAATGAAATCCTCAATGAAAAGGAGTGAAAATATTGCAGGTGGTTGGCATGAAAAATACACTGTACACTGCTACCTTCATCTCAGTGCAATTATTTTTTATGAGGCAAATGATTCCTGCTGCCTGACTTGCAGGCTGGGAATGCAAAGTGAAGTGTTTGGGAGAAGTGCTATTTAAAGCAGAGCACTCGTGTTTCGCTCAGATGGGAGGAAAAAAAAAGGGGGGGGAAATAAAGCAGAAAGGCAAAGAGAAAGAATTTCAATCAATGAGTAGGCTCTCACCAATAAAAACAGGTGCATCACTCACTCTCTAGGCTTGCAAGATGTCTGTAAATTCATTAATGATTTAGAAATTTAAGTCCACATCATCATAGTCACACCTTGAAGAACACTGAATTTCAGTTGTCCATCTTTTCCCATCATAAAACAGCTGAAAACTGCAAATTATCCTGTAGCAGATTTATTTTTAGCACATTTCTTCAGTTTCAAAGAGACAGAGGTGGAAATGAAATGTGCTTATGGAATTCTTCACTTGGTTATGGGCACGTAGCAAGAGATAAACTCTTTTTTCAATGCAAGATCTTGCACAACATAACACATTTCAGGATGTTCTTGAGATCATTCCAATCCCTGCTGTTTTAACAGCTGAAAATTCAGGTTTGGAGGCATTTCTGCCTTCTCCAACTGTGTTTTTAAGTCCTGAGAAGTCACAAACAAGCCGAGCTCTCAGCCACAGAGGTGGCAGGAGGAGATTCCTTCCTTTGGGCATCAGATTCCAATCATTTTTCATCACTATTTTGTGACTTCTTGGGTATTAGCATTGGAGAGAAGCCCCTGCTGGTTAAGTGACTCAGGACAGTGAATTCATCCAAACACAGGCAAGGAGGGAAATGCTCTCCAAAGAGCTGGGAAAGGCTGGGGAAAAAGGAAAACCCTCCCAGGAAAAAAAAGAGTTGTGAGGTTGACATGAACCAAGACAAACCTTGTATTATTGAATTTTCACAAAACCAACAGGACAAACTGCTAGAAAAGCAGCAAAATTCAGGTATCAGAGGTGAACGATACAGTGAGGAGAGGTTCATTAAATGATACAGTGAGAAGAGGTTCATTAAATGTCTTGCTCTGTTTAAAGCCCCAGCTGTGACAATTTTGGTAATCACTGGCTCGCTCTGGATCAGGAATTAATTTGCAGTCCCCAGCCCACAGCGTTTTATCAATGAACTCACCTTGCAGTTCCTCTGACTTTTTAATAAGCACAAAGAACAGCAAGAAACAATTTGTGGCAGGTTGCAAATAAACTAAGCCCCAGCTTAGGTCAATAAATGACACTGCTCGGTGACACAGGGTCACCCAGACAGGAAATCTCACCTGACATCACAGTTCAGTTTGAAAAATATTTAAAGATTAAAAATATTGAAATAAAAAAATTAAAATAAATAATTCAAAATATTTATATATTTAATATTTAGATATTTTATTTTATAGAATATTTAATATTAAAATTAATTAGTTAATTTTAGAAAAATATTTACTATTAAATATTTAAATATTTTAGGGAAAGTTTTTTTTTTTTTACACACAGCAACTTCACACCATCAACAACCTCAGAGATCTCAGAACTGGAATTTGCCCAACATCCCCACCAATTAATGGTTTAATTTCTACTTATTCTAATGCTTTGCAGCTGTAGAGATGTGCAGAAAGGCAGATTTTACCTGAGCAGGGGGTGAAAGATGATGGTGATGTTCCTGGCTCCTGGTTTGCAGACAAACTTGGACCCACCACCTTCAATTAAGTTATCATCTGGTCCTCCTGGAAAAGAACGTGGAACAAGTTGTCTAACAGATCTCACCATCCCTTGATTTTCAGAGAGTAAGCGATAATTAAACATTTAGCAAGCGATAATTAAACAGGAATTAAATGCCTATTTCCTGGTGAAAGATCAGTAATTAACGCCAGGCTTCGCTCTCGGTGCCCTCCCAGTGCAGGGGGTGACTTTGGGATCCTCATTGCAGATTTAGGGACATTTTGTCACAAAACCCACCAAATCCAGGTCCTCCAGCTCGGGTGACAAACACCCAACCCCTCAGGTGTGTTTTAAAGTGATTGGAAAGGGTCTGGAGAGCAGCAATTCCCAGAATTTTCCTGCTTCCAATGGCTGGGGATGGTGCAGTTCCAGCCTTGGTTTAGATGCCAGTGACTGACATTTTAACTCATTTATTGTATTTAGCATTACTGGTTCTCCCAGGAGTTCATCCCCAACTCTGAATCTTGTCATTCCTGCCTGGAACTTTCCCTTCTCTGAGTTCCACCTGGGTACAAATGTTCTCCAAGCTACAGGAAAAAGAAATGTGCAGAATTTGGCAGCAAAACACAACTCAGGGAACATCATTTACACACCACGAGCTCCAGGGTTTGGAGTGGCAATAAAACATGACCAGTATCACTGTGTCACTCCAAAATTACTTCCACGGGCAGCTCCTGACAGCAAAGTACCTTAAATTTGGATATTGGGAGACAAAAGAGAGGGGAGGGAAAATACCAACTTCCTGAAAATGCTGCATGTCCTGAGAGCAACAAAGTCCACGTGGAACCATTCCTGAAGAAAACATTTTTAGGACAACAGGCCAGACACCCCACACATAAATAAATCACCATGGAATGGTTTGGGTTGGAAGGGACCTCAAAGCCCATCCAGTTCCAACCCCATGGGGAAATCTCCCCCTATCCCAGGCTGCTCCAAGCCCCATCCAACCTGGCCTGGGACACTTCCAGGATCCAGGGGCAGCCACAGCTGCTCTGGGAATTCCAGCCCAGGGCCTCCCCAAAAAGGAGCTTGGGCAAAGTTTGAATATCTCAGGTATTATCCAGCCCTTTCCCTGTGAAATCTCCTTTAAAATTGAAAATAAATAATAAATACAGAAGCCAATCACATTACTGGGACAGCTTTAGAGAAATGGGGAAATGACAAAGTTTTGAAATCAAAACTACCCCAGCAGGTCACTGAAGGTTTTGACCCCGACATCTCTACCTCCAACAAAAAGGATTTCTCCAAATGGGAAAAAAGGAGCAACACAACTGATAAGGGAGTGACTCCAACCTTCATTTCCAAGGGAATTTTATGTGCTTTAGAACAACCAGTCTACAGAAAAAGCTCTTTGGTGATGGAATTTGTTTGACCCTTCTGCAGCACAGTGCAAGGACTGAGCAGGTCACAAACATCAGCATTTCATACCCACAATAATCCCTCTAGGTCAGGAGTGTTCCTGTAAGAATTCCAATAGATTCAAAGATGTGGGAGTGAAAGCTCCAGCTCTGAATTCCCCATGGAGTGGGAAATCCTGGGGAACTGGAAACCTTCAGTCACAACATTTCCAGAGCTGACTCAGCTCCTCCAATGAACCCTGAGCACACAGAGCTTCTTCATAAATCCTACCCAACATATGGGCTTGGGAAGCACAAAGCAACTCAAGACAGAGCTTTTTAAACTTTCCTGATGGTACTTAGAAAGAGGCAGCTCTAAAAAAAAAAATATCCAGAGATTTCAGCTGGCAGCTTAAAGAGTGAACTCTCACAACGTGGCAGTTTAATCGGGGAAGAAAAGAGGCGTTGAGTTCAAGGAAATGAAAATTATTCACTTCCCCTGTTAATGTCAGATCCTGCAATCTCCAGTGGGCTCTGTGTCTGAACAGAATTATTGAAGGAGCCAGCCAAGCATGAGCTGCTGAGGCAGGGATGAGGAAATGCAAGCTCCAATTAAGAGAGGGGTGTTATTCTTGTTCCATCAAGTCACCGTGCACTAATCAATATTATTGACTGGGATGAACTCCATGGCGAGGAATAAAACAATCTGTCTGATCTGCTGGGCCAGATGAAGATGGATTTGAGGAGAACAGAACCCTGGCACCGAGAGAAAAATGTGCTTTTACATCTCCTTGGCTCTCAGCCTTCCATTAGTAATCGTGGGTGCTCTGCAGGTAGGTGCAGGCTACAGGGGGGGAGGGATTTTGCTTGTATTTAAATATTATACCCCCAAAAAAAAGATGCTGAGGTGTAAATCTAATTCCTGGTGATGCTTTGGACATCTCAACTACACAACAGTGCATCTTCAATGCCATTGCTCTCCCACCTTCACTGCTCTGAACACTGTTCTGTTATGGAAAATCCTGGAGAGTGAAGGATTCCTTTCCCTGGGAATTGGAGATCTCCACAGGGAATTCCTCTGATGGTATCAAGGTCTGAAATGTGTTATTTACATGGACCAGCCACGATTCCTCCACTGCAGCCAACTCCCTGTGCTGGAGAGCCACCAACATCTCCATAAAAATTCCCTCATCCTGATTGATTCCACCAGGAGCATCTCCTGCAGGGAGCTGAAGGATTTGTTCATCCAAACAACCCAAAACTGGCAGCTCTGGAGAAAAAAGGGAGCAGAGAATGACAGGATGGTTTGGGTGGGAAGGGACCTTAAAAATCATCCAGTTCCAACCCCTGCACGGGCAGGGACACCTCCCATGGGCTGCAGAGGAAGGAAGGTCCCTGACCTGTGAGAGAGATTCCAGACGGATCCATGGAGCTGCTCCAGGGCTGGAGCCAGGCTGGGAGAGCTGGGAGTGTTCCTCTGGAGAAGGGAAGGATCCAGGGAGAGCTTCCAGCACATTCCAGGGCCTGAAGGGGCTCCAGGAGAGCTGCAGAGGGACTGGGGACAAGGCCTGCAGGGACAGGACACAGGGAATGGCTCCCACTGCCAGAGGGCAGCCATGGATGGGAGATTGGGAATGAGGAATTCCTGGCTGGGCTGGGATTGCCAGAGCAGCTGGGGCTGCCCCTGGATCCCTGGAATGTCCAAGGAAGGACTGGAGCACCCTGGGATGGTGGGATTGGAATGGGATGGGATTTGAGGTCCCTTCCCACCCAAACCATTCCGGGATCCTGGGATCAGGGAGGCCCAGAATCCATCCCGAGGGATTTTTATGGAAGTTGGGGATGGAAAAGTTAAGGGAGACCCTTCCTGGAGTGCCAAGATTCCCAGTGAAGCCCCCAGATCCCAAAATTCCTTCTCAGAGCACAGTGACAGTGGGGATGGATCCAATGCCAGGCTGAGAGAGGTGGGAATGGAGGGAATTCCCTGGGAAAGGGAGATTGGGGTGGGATTTTGGGAAAGAATTCCTGGCTGGGCTGGGATTACCAGAGCAGCTGGGGCTGCCCCTGGATCCCTGGAATGTCCCAGGCCAGGCTGGACACTGGGGCTGGAGCAGCCTGGGACAGTGGGAGGTGTCCCTGCCATGGCAGGGGTGGCACTGGAGGGGCTTTGAGGTCCCTTCCCACCCAAACTAATCCATAATTCCATGAGGAGTGGAAATAATACCTTTTTTCTTTCCTTATCAATGACAACCAGAGATCAAATTTGGAGCCTCCCAAACCAGAGCTGAGCTGGCAAATTCTGCACAGAGATATTTTCCTGGTGTGCCCAGGAAAACATCCCAAACTTTCCCATCTCTCTGGAAGCACCATTGTTGTAGCAGTTTCCTCTCAAAAGCAAAGTTTGCTGGTTTAATCTCTCCAGCAATAAATTATGAGGAACAAAAGAAAAATAAGGAAAACTTGGAGATGAAGTGAAATTTGTCACAGAGTTAATGACACCCTCCTGCTGTGCTGGCAATGAAGTGTGCCCACCTGAATGTCACTGCAAGTGGTGACAGCGACGGGGCCATTAGTGACAGAGCTCGGCGTGTCTGAAATGGAGCCTAAAATGTCAGACTTCAACATGAAAAAAGAGATGAGCAGGAAAACTGGAATCTCTGCAGGTGCTGAAAGTCAGAACAAACATTAGGAGAGCTTTAGTTTTTCATTCTGCTCGGTTCCTTAAAATTGAAATGTTTGCGTGGAAATCTTCCATGTTTACAGAAAATGTCAGAGAATCCCAGGATGGTTCGGGTTGGAAGGAGCTTAAAGCCCATCCAGAGCTACCCCTGCCATGGCAGGGACACCTCCCACTGTCCCAGGCTGCTCCAGCCCCAGTGTCCAGCCTTTCCTTGGACATTCCAGGGATCCAGGGGCAGCCCCAGCTGCTCTGGCAATTCCAGCCCAGCCAGGAATTCCTCATTCCCAAGATCCCATCCATGATTTCAACTCTCCTGGAGCCCCTTCAGGCCCTGGAATGTGCTGGAAGCTCTCCCTGGATCCTTCCCCTCTCCAGGGGAACATTCCCAGCTCTCCCAGCCTGACATTGGATCCATCTCCTCTCCAAGAAATTCATGGACCCAGGGCCTTCACTTGGAATCTCAGGAAGCCACGAAAGGTCTCCCTTCCCTTTCCCTCTCTTTTCTATCCCCATTTTCCATAAAAATCCCTTGGGATGGATCCTGAGTGTCCCAAATCCCAGAATCCTGGACCAGTTTGGGTGGGAAGGGACCTCAAAGCTCATTCCAGGGACACCTGCCATGATCTCAGGGTGCTCCAGTCCTTCCTGGGACATTCCAGGATCCAGGAGCAGCCCCAGCTGCTCTGGCAATTCCAGCCCAGCCAGGAATTCCTCATTCCCAATTTCCCATCCATGGCTGCCCTCTGGCAGTGGGAGCCATTCCCTGTGTCCTGTCCCTGCAGGCCTTGTCCCCAGTCCCTCTGCAGCTCTCCTGGAGCCCCTTCAGGCCCTGGAATGTGCTGGAAGCTCTCCCTGGATCCTTCTCCTCTCCAGGGGAACATTCCCAGCTCTCCCAGAGCAGAGCAGAGGGGTGGAATCGGATGATCTTTAAAGTCCATTCCCACCCAAAGACTTTTGGGATTCTGTTCTCTCCCTCTCCCAATGTGCT